AAGGAAACCTGAAGAAGAAAACCCAGGACAGACATGAGAAGAGATTCCAAGCTACACAAGACCAGAAGAGAGGGGAGGAAAGAGTTGTAACTCAACTTGAAAATACCATACTGTAGAGTAAATTAATTCACTCCTGACACCTTGCCTAATAGCACAGTACAGTGAGCTGCCATTAGTGCCTTGTCAGAGTAGAGCTCTGACTGAAGGCTGCCTATTGTTACTTATGTGTCAGCGCACATTTACAATTAATCCAGGTCTTCACTGACATCATGCTAAATAATCCTTACACAGGCCAGGTTTAAGTATCCATGTGTTTCAAAGTGCTAACCATAAAGCACTATTCAGAAATGCATCAGAATGTCATCTCTTTCCCAAGTCTGCCCAGTGAGTAAATACCCTTTGCACGACAGAAGCCCTGTTCTCTCAATAGGGCTGTATTGAACATCCATGGGCAGCCAAGGCTTGGTAAGCCTCACATTCTGTGATCTTGAGCAGGCTCATCATAGGTTGTTAATAGCCATTAATGTCTATGATCTAGACAGTACTTGGTCCTGCCATGAGGGTAGAGGAGTGGACTTGATGACCTCTCAAGGTCCCTTCCAGTTCTGGTGTTCTATGAAATGTCTAAGTGTGAGAGAGAGAGAGATCACTATATGACTACACCTGCCACTGTCATATGCAGCTGAACAGGAAACACAACCTGTTCTTCCCCCTGCCCCCTGCTAAAGTGCGGATCACTGAATGTTGATTTTACTCTATTAAGTACATAGGCTATTTTCCACTAGAAGTATCACAGAAATGGCAATACTTGAACTGTTCAGATCCCCTTCTCCTCAAGAGAGAGGAGCACCTTTCTGATTCATTGGGTTCATCACTCCTTCCTACAGCAGAGAGAGAGAAATGGTGCTAAGAGTATGAAGAAGATGCAATGTACTTGCAGTCATGATCTGAGTTCAATCACATCATACATTTTTGTTCCCAGCCTCTTGAGGTAGTCCCAGCAACTAGATTAATTGCAAAGGCGTTGGAGTGAGCTGAGATCCTGGACATCCTGGTGCACAGGCATCACAGGGATTTATTGTCCCATCTAGATATATGCCTCTATATCTGCTTCCAAGATGTTTCAATGCCTCAGTCTCCAAAATAGGAGCGAAACACCACTCGTCCCCCCCACACAGCTCATCAAAGCTCTGCTTTGATGTACCAGTCTTATATGCAGTCTCATTCAGCTCTGCTCCACTCAAGGATTCCTTCTATCAGACTTGACAGACCAAATTGATTTCAGATACCTGGGGAACACAGGAGACCAAAGCATTTGTCATAGGATCTGATGGCTCAAAGTAATAAGCTGGAGCAGATCCCACGCCACATCCAAATCATGATCATCCCTCAGACAATACAAACACCTGATACATTCACTGATGGCAGGCACTTCTCTGTCGAGGCACCTCTGGAAGCCAGTATGGAGTTTATCCATTCCTGTTAAAACAATCTAAACTGGAAGAAAAAACCCACTAATAACAACCTGCATTGTCACCTGGGATGAGCCAAGACAAAGGTACTATGGAAGACTATAGTGTGTGGACGTGTCAGCAAACCAACTGAGCCTAGACAAAGTACCAACATTTTCTTTAAAAGAAGATAGGGAAATACAAAAAATTGAATATCAGCACTTAGCTAAGGGAAAGGGCAGGGGTGCCATTTCAGATTTTGGTAGGGGGGGCTGACCTGTGCATGTGATGATGGGAGGACAGATTGAGGACAGAAGCTTCAGCAGTGTTACTGAGCATGCTCAGTACAAGCCAAGCTCCAAATGGGGAGGGAAGGAACCAACCCCATCCGCCCTCCTCCCCCTACCCCTCCACATCATCTCTATCCAGGGGCTACCAAGGTATTGGAAAACTCTACTTTTTTTGGCAGACAACTTGGCAGTTAGCTGACAGGAGCCCTGTATCTAATTTCTATATAAAAGAAAGAAAATTAAATACATATTAGACACACTCAGCTCTAACACTGATATTCTAACATCTTGTGGCAAGTCACTTAAGGAATACTAGTTACCCTTAAAATTTTAATGTATAGTCTTACTTTATTACTTACTGACTCTGTGGAGAGAAACCCACCCCATCAGGACTCCTAGGTGCTCTCTCAGCTCTGGAAGGGGAGTGGGTCTAGTGGATTACAGCAAGGGGGCAGGATACAGTTCAGCTCTATGTAAGAACATCAGAATGGCCATACTGGGTCAGACCACAGGTCCTTCTAGTCTAGTATCCTGTCTTCCAACAGTGGTCAATGCCAAGTGCTTCAGAAGGAATAAGCAAGAGAGGCAATCATCATGATCCATCCCCAGTCACCCATTCCCAGCCTCTGGCAAACAGAAGTTAGGGACACCATCCCTGCCCATTCTGGCTAGTAGCCATTGATGGACCCATCTTCCTTGAACTTATTTTGTTCTTATTGGAACCCTGTTATAGTTTGGGCTTTTCCACAATCTCCTGGCAAAGAGTTCCACAAGTTAATGGTGAAAAAATGTATTCTGTTTGTTTTAAATCTGCTGCCTATACATTTAATTGGGTCAGCCTCTTGTGTTATGTTAGTGAAAGAGTAAGTAACATTTCCTTATTCTATTTTTCCACATTGCTCATGATTTTCTAAACCTCTAATATATCCCCCCATGCTTTAGTCATTTCTTTTCCAAGCTGAAAAGTCCCAGTCTTGTTAATCTCTCCTCAGATGGAAGCTGTTCCTTATCGCTAATAATTTCTATTGCCCTTTCTGTACCTTTTCCAAATACAATATTTATTTTTTAGATCGGGTGACCAGATCTGCACACAGTATTCAAGATGTGGGCATACGATTACTTTATGTAGCAGCAATATGGTATTTTGACTTATTATCTATTCCTTTTCCAATGATTCCCAATATTCTGTTAGCTTTTTCGTTTTTACACTGCAATTGCACATTGAACAGATATTTTCAGGGAACTATCCACAATGATTCCAAGATCTCTTTCTTGAGTGGTGGTAACTATTTTGTATCTATAGTTAGGATTATATTTTCCCATGTGCACTGCTTTGCATTTATCAACACTAAATTCCATTTGCCTTTGTGTTGCCCAATCACCCAATTTTGTGAAGTCCCTTTGTAGTCAGCTTTGAATTAGTCCCTGTTCACCCCTTTTTCAAGAACATTTGTAAGTTTAACACATAAGAATGGCCATACTGGGTTAGACCAAAGGTCCATCTAGCTTTGACCACTGTCTGAGGACAGGATACTATGACAGATGCCCCAGAAGGAAGAAACACAACAGGTAATCATCATGTGATCTCTCCCCTGTCACTCATTTCCCGACAAACAAGCTAGGGACACCATTCCTACCCATCCCGGCTAATAGCCATTGATGGACCTAACCTCCATGAATCTATTCAGCTCTTTTTTGAACACAGTGATCCAAATACAAATCCCAGCAGCACAACACTCGTGCCAGCTATTTTCTCCCATATCTTTTAAGTGGAGTACCTAGCAATGTTTTCACAATGACCTAATGATCTTTCAGTTGCCTGAATGCCCCATCTTTTGTTGTTCTTAATCACCCTGCCTTCCTCTTTTTAGAACAAACTCCCTGCCCCAAAAGCAAAACTGGGAGCAGCTCAAACTCTACTGTGCATTTAAGAACTGCCTCCGGAGTTGGGGCATGTAGCTTTAAGCAGACCCCACGTATGAAATCCCGGGGGTTCAAACTCAGGAGACTACTGTCTCCAACCTCTCATAAAAGGCACCCTTAGGAAAGGGGGGAAAGAGATAATTGATCGGGTAATCACCAAATATGGAGCAGTTGGTGAATGGAACTCTGAACCATTATGTAGAAAGAAAGGAAACTAGCTAAACATCATTGACCACTGGATTGGGCAGGAAGTCATACGGCACCAGCTGATAAGGTGGAGCTTTGAATTTACAACATCTGATCAGTCATGACTGGGGAGAACGGAACGCTAACAAATGGTACTTCTGCAGAGAACAGCACCTGGGATTGTCAGACTAATCTCTAGAGCACAAATATTCCTATAAGGCCTGCCTCTAAATGTGCCAGTGGCTAGACCACGTGAACCAACTTTGGGAAAGGGGTTAAAAGATTTCTGTAGATTTTCTGGTTCTTCAAAAGATGTGCCATTTAGGAAGCACAAAGAAGTGGGGAATTATATCTCCGGTTGATTTCCCAATATGAAATGTTTAATATGGTATATTTTAGTACATAGCTTTGAAGCTCAGTCTATGGCAATTTGCATTAGCCTTATCTTGGATAAGAGATGGATCTGTGGGGATCATTTTGTCAGATTCATTTTCCTTGGTGATATCTTGTTACCCTAGTGTATGAGAAATGGCTGAAACTGTCCCCTGGTGGCACTGGGTGAAACTAACAAGCTACAAAATAGTAAATCAAGCTGGCTTAGCTAACAGTGCATTTTCTGGTGCATCTTTTAGATGCTTCCTTACATTTTTCTTGTGAGTTGTCTCTCTCTTAAAAGGAGGAGTGTGGGACTAATACATATATTAGGCCTCTTTCTTTGCCTTAGAAAATGAGCCAGGAATTATTTCAAAGTACCTATATTTTTCTCACAATTAGAAAAAATAATTCAGATTTATCCTAACTAGTGGCAATGGGTTTAGCCCTCCAAGGAGTGTGATGCATCAGTTTGAAAAGACTTGTGACTGAAGCAAGAGCAAGCATATGCATTCATAGCTATTTGCATAAGTGTCCACAGCTATTTCGTATGACTGATAAGAAGTTGGCAAATTTAGATCAGATAGGTACACTAACTTGAGGAAACGCTTTCTAAATTAACAAAAACTGGTATTTTTCTTATCAATCAGGTTAAATATGTATATGGTGGAATATGCTTGGTAATTTTACATGAACACTATAGATTTGTAAATTATGTAATTTTACAATACCAATTTTGTACACGAGAAACTAGCATCCAAGTATAATTTGTTATAATTCTTTGATACAAAGTTGACTGATCTATATATTTTCCTTAAGGGATTTCAGGATGCCCCCCTGGTCTCTTGCTTTTCATCAATGCTGTCTGTGACTTCTTGCCTCCTGGTTTTAGGCACTCCTGGTGATAGCGCCCTTCTCTTTGGAGCAGTTATTTGCTCCTGTGAAGTTTGTACAGGCTGAAGAGCCTTGTCGCAGAGAAGAAGCTTGAGCCGGAGATCCCTGTCCCTGTGCGCCCGCGGGGTTAATTTCAAGCAATGAGTGCATTTTTGGGGCACATGGGACTCCCCCAAACAACGGACACAGACTGCGTGACCATCTAAGGCTGGCATAGCCTCTTTGCACTGGGAACACCGTTTGAATCCTGGTGTCCCAGGCATGATAAAATTGACTAGGCAAACTGCGGCACTGGCAGAAATTGACTAAAACAACATCTTTCCTCCTCCCCCCCCCCCCAAACTAACTAACTAACTAACAGGAAACTAACTACTGAACAAAGACTAACTATTTTACAATTCTTTCTGACAGGATTTGCTCTGCATCTGAGGAGATCGCAAAGCTCCGCCAACAACCTAGGACAGTTGAGAGGAACTGGCGGGGGGGCCGGTCTGCGCTCGTGATCAAAGGCGCAAAAGCCGAGCACTGCAGGGGGCATGCGCAGACTGGCCGAATATTGCTCTGAAATCTTCCGACCAGCGGCACTGGGATGGACCCAACACCTAGAGTGGAGCACCCACGGGGCCACTTGAAGAACCATTCCTTTCCACTGCATATGAGACTTTCACCTTTTGCTGGTACTTTAGCTGGGTAGCAGGTATCTGGAAATACCTATCTTGCTAGCAGATAGTATTGTTAGCCAAGGAACCCAGGCCCTGACAAAGTTGTTTTGGATTTATTAAGTTAGTAGTAAGTTGTTTTATAAGCTAAAGTAGTGATACGAAATGAATTTGTTTCAAAATCATGATGTTCTGTTAAAGGCCTGCTCATTAGAAAATTGTTTAACAGCCCCTGTGCTGTTTCTTCTAAAATTGCTTAGTAGAAAAATGTATAGTTATAGTTTGTATGAATGAAGTACGTGTGTGCAGCTAAGAAGAGATAGTATGTTAGTAGCAGATGAGCCTAATTACAGAAGAACGAAGGAAACAGGTGCCAGTATCGCCTTGCCTTGATGATCCAAGGAGTGCAAATTGATGACCCTGGAGTGTGAAAACATCCCTCCAAACTAAGAATAAAGTATAAGGTAAGGAGCAACTGAGTAAACATCCAGAACCTAGTTTGTGATTAAGGATCCAAACATCATTGATGGAACATAACTGTGAGAATGGCAAATTTATAATTAACAAATCCCAACTGACAGCAAAATCCATAGACTTACATGACAGACAACTAGTATAAAGATGGGTGACAGCCAGGAGACTTGGGGTTCATTCTGCACCAACAAAGGATCACTGGACTCATCCAACAAAGGCCAATCTCCCACTCATGATCAGTCTATCTGGCCACACTAGGCTGATTTGAGCAATAAGACGTGGTAACTATGGCACCAGCTGCAAAACCTTTCTGGCATGGGTACATGTTTATACTGATTTAAATCCTTAATTAGCATTTTAAATAGACAAGTCAACATGTCAGATTCCCTGAAAAAGGCACCATATCTAACATAGAAGTGAAAGGCACAAAAATTACATAATCTGCAACAGGACTGTTCTCTAAGGTGCTTCTTTTGAAGCCCTCTTTGCATCTCTCAACAATGAAAATGTATGAAACCTATCACTGTATCACGTATTTGGCCAGTTAAATCTAGCAGTTAGCAATTTAGGTATTTAATGTTACTAAGCGGTAAGCATGTCTAACAAATCGATCCCCCCTTCTGAAGTTATTGTCTAAAGTACCATACTGATCTGTCACAGACTGTGACTTTGCCATTTTTCCATCACTTCTGAACTACCCTTAGGTCAATGGCAGTAGCAGCAGGAACTTTTAAAAAATATAACTATCAAACAAAGAACACAACATAAAAATAGACAGAAGCATCTCAGGCTGGCAATCAAACCAGTTTTTTTCACTGACGCAATAGAAAAAAAGGATTAAAGCTGGGTTATATGTACATGTATAATCCTCTTTCTTGGTAGCATTCATAAGGCTTTAAAGAAAATTCTCACAAAATCCGCAAGGCTTGAGATCACTCTTAATACCATATATCACTTTAAGTAACCCAAGGATGGGAAGCTATTGTGAATCCTTAACCCTTTAGAGAAAAACTTAAACAACAAATAGTATGGTAGCACTTTAAAGACTAAAAAAATGTAGCTTAAAGTGCTACCATACTATTTGTTGTTTTTTAAGTTTATCCTGTACGGACTAACTTGGATACCCCTCTGAACCTTTAAAGAAAGTTTCCTTACTATTAAAAGTTAAAAAATAAAATTATTTTGATTCATGTAGCAGGCAAACTGCAGCTACTAACACTATAATATAAAAAATTAGCAACTAATGTGTACTTCTGCATTGTCAGTTTACGTATTTCAGATATACTGAACCACATTCTTTTTCTTGTTCCAGACTCTCTCTGGTGGTGTAAAAGGCGCCAAAAGCAAAAAGATCTCTAGAGCTGCTCCATTGTGGGAGAGTCACCAGCAAGCATGGCCAACACCTATGCTATTCCCACTACAACCCTCAGTATAAGGGCATCAGAGTCTGAAGAAGGGAGAGGTGAAGCCTAAGTGCTACTATAGTGTAGCTACTCTTGGCTGGCATACTGGACCTCAAGGCTGTTCTAAGTACGCCAGCACCGGGAAAGAAAAAGTCAGAATATAAGGGTGTTACAACTAGTTTTGTTTTGAGCCACCTTACCTCAGGTGTGCCCATCAGATATTGGGTGTAGATGACAATTTAGCCCATCATCGATTTAAGTTTACGAACACTGGAAAATATTGTATACTAATGGAAAAACACACTTAAAACATCACCTACTTCAGATAGGATTTACAGTACTTTTTGTAAGGTAAAAGAAGATACAGAACCATAAAATGTGGTGCCTCTCAGAATAGAGCATCAGCTTGTAGAAAGTAGCTGAAGAGCCTTTGTATGTCTCTATGAAATAATATAGTCAGTAAGCAGCTATGACAAATTCTTTTTCCTCCTTTCACATGATATATAGGAGCTGGGTTTTTGCCCTCATGCCGAACACCCTTAACTCTGATGGAAATTAATGGTAGTTGAAGGTGCTCAGAATTTCATAGGAGAAACAATCTCCCAGAATCAGGCCAATGATGAAAACAAAAACTTTGACATACTCACTTCAATCTCGGACAGTTTAGACCAAGTGCCGTGAGAGAAGCATCTGTGAGGTTGCTACAACCAGAAACACATAATGACTGCAGTCTGTGGCATCCTCTACAAATTTTTACAATGCCTTCATCTGAAATTTGCTGAAACAAATAAAAAAGGTTGAAATTTATCCTGATATCAAGTAATTTGTTTAGGAAAAAACTGAGCCATGCAGAATGACATCAGATCAACAGTGTTTATGTTGTCTATTTTCATCCGCAAAATGTCTGAGGGAAATCACACACCACATGATAACTCTGCTTCTTTGAGACAACCATCACATAGGATTCTTGCTCATTCACATCTTTTTGGTATATTTGAGATGCTTTCTAAAGCAACGTGAAGCTGGTTCTCTCCCATCCGTGGCATGGTTTCAAGTGGTAAATATTTTACTTTACAACATACAGTTTGCATTTTTAGGGGAGCTCTTCCTTCCCACAAATGTAGGGATTAAATGAAATGTCTAGGAGTTAAGAGACTAGCAGTTAGAATGAAAGATGAAGGAGGCGTTCATGCCCAGTGCCACAGACTGCCAAAAACTAAGAGCATTCTGGGTGCAAGACCTAAAAGTGGGAATCCTATTGTATGGCATCTTCAAAGAAACAGAATTACAGGTCAGCAACTATTCCTTATCCCCAGTTTACAGAAGTACATTAAAATACAGAGATTTGCCCCAAATTACCCAGGAAGCCTGCAGCAGACCAGGAAAACAACCCAGACCTCTCATTTCCCTGTCTTCTGAGATCATTTTTCATTATGCTGTTCTGATTTAGCCACTCTGAGAGAACTATCAAAAAAGAAGTCAATAATGGTTTTCTGTTGATATGCATTTTAGTAGTTAAATTCCTGCACTGCCGTTGCTCATTAAAAGTGCTGTCATACGGGTGGAAATCAGGTGAATACAGGAGGCCCCTGACTTGTGACCGCCCAAGTTCCAACCCCCTGCACTTAGAACTATTTTTGTAAGCGCAGAAGGGGCTGAAGACCCCCGACTTACGTCCTTGGCTCACATTTACGATGGTGCACGGCGTCTATCATAAATAAGGGTTCAAGTTACAACGTCCCCAACTTGCAACCCTTCCCCTCGGAACCAATCACGTCACAAGTCGGGGGCCTCCGGTATTGCATTTTATTAATATTTGCAGAACAGACTTAAATGGGGCCTGTGTGTTGTAGTCTTGCCTTCCTATTTATGCCCATCAGTGTGAAAGAAGCTATTTGCATATATATTTACATATATATGCAAGCACACTTAAGGTGCGGCCCTTGGCATGTGCTATGAGTATCACTGTGGCCCCGGGAGCTTCCAAAGTTGAGTAGCCCTGCTCTAGAATGTTAGCAGATTAAAAAACAGGTACACCTGATGTAAATCCTCATGGATCCACAGAGAAAAGAATAGATTTTAGAGTTTTCACCTGGAATCATTTTAATTTGACAGACATACTGAACCATTTTAGACCTAATAGTGGTTCTTTACCACCTGGTGGTGTAACAAGAGTGTATATCTTAAATTTGTGCACTGAATGGCTCCTATTATTTTACTTGGAATCAACTATCTAGAATTTCTCTTATTTTTTAAGAATGATACTCTTGTGACAGTAGTGAGCAGATTACTGAACTTGACTCAGTGATCACTGAACTTGACTCAGTGATCACTGGAGAAGGATGGAACTCTAAATTAGCTTGTAGAAAAAAATCCCCTCTTTGAAATTATCCAAGATTTCACAACACCTACATCCTTTTCACTAAAGAGTAAAATTAATTTCCATGGTTCACATAAAGATGTTTGCAATCTACATAACTGTATACATTCTGAATGCAATACCTTTTGAATATAAAGAATAATGATAGTCTCCATGGGCAAACACAGTTCACTTTCCTACCATGTCAATGCCATGCTACTTCTAAGGATCACAAAAATGAACTTGCAAAGCTTCCTAGAGACAGATCACACTTCTCAGTTTAGAAAGCTCCATAGTGATAGCCAGTGAACCTCATAAGCAAGAGACTGCAACTACAGCCTCTGAGAACATGGTTCATAGCAATAAGCTATTAGGACAGATTTTTCAAAGCAGTGCAAAATCACCATTCCTGCATGGCCTCAAAACTGACAACCAACTTATGAAGAATTATCTATCCCATTGTAGAGATAATCTTCCAGTCACACAGAATCAACATAAGGCAGTGATAGGCAACCTAACCTAGTGAGTAGACTGCATAAATGGCCCTTCTTCATTTCAGGGGGCCACAAGATTATCACAACCAAAACTGTCTCCTAGGATAGGGTAGTTTTGCTAACTGGACATGCATATCTATAAGATGACCGGACATCCTCCTTTGAGGACAGTCCTCCTTTTGAGGGGCTTGTCCTCCCTAATAATTGTGTCCTCCTTTTGTGCTCCTTTGAAAAAAATTGTCCTTCTTGTCCTACTTTGCCAAAAAAAATATATCCCGCTGTTTTTTAAAGTATCGTTATACTGCAATTGAACCCCTGTTAAAAGTACACAGAGGGTATTTATGAAACATTATTATTTATTTTGAGTCATTTTAATTTAATGTCAATGTGATTTTTTAGTTGACACAATTAACTCTAAAAATGTCGAAGAAAAGAAAATGCCATTTCAACGAGAATATAAAAAAGGAATTTCCTTTCATCAGAATTGTGGATGAAACGAGATGATTCATTAGTGAAGCGTACTGTCTGTTTGGTGGAATTCAGCGTGGCAGTAGGTGGCCAATCCAGCATAACAAAGCGTGTTTAATCAAACATCAGAATTCTTTAACACCGCATCAATGTCCCAGAAAGTTAGACTTCTTATCATTTGGAGAAGACTAAAATAATTTAGCAGCTGACTGCATACCACACTGTGTTGCACAATCAAAGTTTTTGGAGCATGGACTGTACGTCAAAACTGAATAGAGTACTTTATAATAAAAAATTCCATTGTGCCAGAACTAAAGGAGAGGCTATTATTATTCGCAACGTTTTTCAAACTTACACACAAGAGAATTTGAAGAAAGATTTAGATGAAGCTAAATTTGTTACACTTCTTTCGGATTCTTCAAACCACAAAGATACAAAGTTTGTATCTGGTGTTAGTTCGTTACTTCAGTTTTGAAAATGGTATTCAAATCAAAGTTCTGAATTTGGAAACAACTGATGGTGAGACATCTGAAATAATATCCAATCATATCAAAAAATTAGTGGATAATCATAATTTGAATGATAAAGTTATTGCGATGTGTGCCGATAACACAAATGCTAATTTTGGCGGTATAAATCGCAAAGGCAATAAAAATGTTCATAAGAAAATTATGCATTTACTTGGGAAAACGATTATTGGAATCGGTTGCAATGCCCATATTGTGTCTAATGCCATCAATACAGCATCAGGTTTAATGTCCATCGATGTTGAAGTTGTGATACCTCAAATTTATTTATATTTTGAACGATTCATTGTAAGAGTTACATCATTAAAGACTTTTTGCAAAGAAGCCTCAGTTGAATATAAAGAACTGTTGGAATATTCAAAAACAAAATAGTTAGCTTTAATGCCAGCTATTGAACGAGTGCTGCAATTGTTGAGCCTTTAAAATCATATTTTCTAAGTTTGGAAAAATGTCCACTGATCTTGAAAAACTTTAAGAATGAATCTGCTGAAGTAACTCTGTATTTTGTTCACAATCAAGCAACTTTGTTCCAGTCAGTTATAAAAAATATTGAAAAAAAAGCATATAACTTCTACAGAAGTGGGATTGCATATTAAACAATTAAAGGAGCAACTTCAATCATGTCTTGAGTCCAACTTCCTTCCATTGGTTGTAATTATTAATTTAAACAAATTACAAGAGAGCAATCTGGGAATGAAGAAAGAATTTACGAGGGAGGCGATGAGCTTTTATAAAAATGCTCTTGAATATCTAGAAAACTGGACTAAGCAGGACGAACCAGTTTACATGTTTGATTGGATTCTGCTGAATGAAAAAATTCAATGGAATAAAATCCCTGAAGCAATTTTATTCGTTAAAGAAAAATTTAGCATCACAATAAATGACAATTTATTGTTCAACGAAGTACGAAGAATTAACAATATAATAAAAGACCATGAATGGACTGAACGCGAAACTGATAAAAAAATGGATCAAGATTTTTAATTTCTTAAAAAAGCGACAAATATTGATGTTTTTAATGTTATGGTTGCTTTTGTTAAGTCTGTTTGTCTTATAAGACAACTAATATCATGATCATTTATTTATATGAATATATACATATAAACGTTTGTTTTTTGTCAACTCAGTTTCAATTTCTGGTCACCTTAGTATCTAGAACTTGCTGGATGTGCCAACTGAACCACAGCCATGCTTTGATTGGATGCAGAGAGAACACAAGGCTCTCATAGCCACTACTAGGTACAATCAGCATACACCTCTTTTCACTTGCCCTTTATTTAAAATGCGCATGTCACTTTAGTAATATTGGTAGAAAAAACCTCTATGGACAGAAACCAGCAGAATCTGGCAACCCTGCACATGATCAATGGTAACCAAAATGTCTCGTGGGCCACACACAGAACCCTGCATGTGACCCTCGGGCCACAGGTTGCCCACCATTGACATAGGGGCTCTTCTACAATTTGTACTCACTAGTAATAAGATGAGCAGGCATGGAATATCAGTGCACTATGTTGTATCTTCAATACTTTGGGGATCCCTGTGGCTGTTGTAACTTATGTAAGTTAACACGGCTTTCAGACTGGTGTCTCAGTTGCAGCAGGACCAGCCTGCACAGAGGTACACAAGCAAGACCAGGTAAGGTCCCCAAACTGGTGCTCTGTTTAGGTTAGCCACATCCCTGGATTTGTCCCATTGTTTTGTGAAGCTTCTCAATTCCTTGAATCAGAATATTTGTCTTACTGAGTTTAACAAACACTGCAGATGTATTCTGCTACTTGAACAAAAGTTATTCAATTTATGTAGCTTAGAAACTATGCCGTAAAGCTTCTAAACATTTTTAGTGAATGCATATTCCTCCAAATCAAACTTAGTTTTATGGATTTTATTTATTCTGGGGTTTTGAATACAAAGCTTTTAAACTGTTTGAAGCATACCACTTGGATTAGAAAGGTTATAGCAACTCTTCAAGCAGCAAGCAGTAGCAGAATCTACATTTTCTGTAGAACTCTGGAAGTTCAAATATTCAAATTAGTCACCAAATCTTTTTAAAATAAAAAAGTCCTATGAATTAATGCCAACAGAAGACAAATAAAATCAATTATGAGGGTCTCATTTTTTAAGTCAGATTGCCAACGAATACTGAATTATTTTTCAGTTTGAATTCAGATCCCGTATAGGCCGAAGAAATATTGGTGATGTCACAAAAATTTAGACACTGAATGTTTAGCAGCTGAGCAATTGAGAGGGACTTCCCAGGTTTTGTTTGTAGTAACCACCTCCTTACGTAACTAACATTTTCGCTACAAGAAAGACCTTCTATACCCTTATCCCTTCAGTTAAGATGTTAGAGTTCAAAATAAACATCCATGAGACTTCCCAGATGTCCTCCAGCAAAAAATCAGACTTCTAAGGCTAAAATAAAAGAGAAAAACAACTTGAAAAAAAAATTAAAAGTCTTCTTCGTATGGCAATTAAAAAAGGCCAAACACATCATTTCCACCCTGGACCTTTAAAGAAAATAAGCATGCAAATCTTCAAGAAAAGGATACATTGCTTTTATTTTTTAAGAAAGCTAGAGATTGAAAAAAGTGAGGATTGTAAGGGAAATTGCCTCACCATCCCACCCTAGACATTCACGTCATTGAAGGCACAAGCTCTGCATTCACAATGTTTTTAACTTCTGCAAGACCTTCTGATATAGCCTGTAATGTCTGCAGTGCTCTAAGGTGTTCAAGACTTTGGCATCTAATAAATCTACAATTTTCCATCAAAGCTTAATAGAAATGGTCCTATGCTGCAGTACTCATAGAGGACTAATGAATAAAAACAGATTTGAAGGTCTCAGACCAAGTAGTTTTTGTGATATGCTTTTGCAGTAAACAGCTGACAACTTTTCTGTGCTCTCATTCTTTTTTTTTTAAATTTGTTGTCTTCTCTGAAAGTAAATATAAGAAACTTCAAGCCAAATTCCTTTCCCCCTCCCCCTTGTTCACAGAGTTGTATTGGAGTAAAAAAAAAAATCAGACTTATAAAATGATACCATAAAACAAATATATTTTCAGTGCAGCATAGTATGCACTAAAGTAGATGAACAGCAGCAATTTCCAGTCATAGGTAGATGAACAAGTAAATCACTCCATATTATGTTGAGAATATATATTTTTTTCTCCTGCTATCAAAGACTTTCCTGGCATAATCTAGTAGCTGTACTGCTACTAGGAACTTATTTTTTAAAAATATCCAGCACACAAGAATGTGCTTGGCACCTCTCAAATATGGTCTCTGCCCAAAGAACTTAAAATTAAAAACAGATCACAGATGACAGACTCTGGCTTAAGGGCCTAGGAAACAGGGATAACATCAGTAAAACTGCAGGATTACTTTGGTTGTCCACAGTCCACGGTTGTTCACGGATTCCAGATACTAGTTAAAAGCTAAAGCTATCTACAACTAAAAAATAATAAAGCCAAAGGCTCCAAATCTGCATTCATCTGTGGAAATATTCAGCTGATTTATGGCCTCTGGACCGTACTGGCCATGTTCCACTCAGCTGTTTCATCCACCCTGTGACTGAAATATTCTGTGACTTGTAGAAATGTGGTGTCCCAACTATTCAAAAGCATAACACTTGAATTCATCAATGTCTGAAAAATGCTTTGAGCTCCTTAGTTAAAAGGTACTATAAAAGTAGAAGGTACTCTTTCAAAGTTTAAAATACATACTGTGCATGACTGCAAGTTCAGGATTCCAAGCTCATGACAGTGATTTTGAATGTGTTTCAGTGCTTCATCTTCCAACTGTATTAATGAATAAAAATAAATTGGTAAGGAAAGAATTAAAAGCATTGCCAAAAATGTACAAACTTTATAGTGTTAAAAAACAAAAAGACTCTATAACAAAATCACAGTCTAAATTCAGGGAGGTTTTCAAAACATCAAAGTATAAAATGTACTCCCTAAAGGACCATCTTGACACCCAAGTAGTTATGTACCTGTGTGCAACCTCTAAGAAACAGTGCTTTTAGTCCACTGCACCCTTTCACCAGTGCTTCAATACCATCCTTCGTAATCTGATCACACCAGGAAAGATTCAAATGTTCCAGATTTCTGCAACCCTCACTGGGAGAATTAAAAACATGCATAAAGTCAAATCCAACCTTGGAACATTGATAACAGTGAAAAACCCACCTGAAACATGCTGTTACAAATTCATGATATATAGCTATGCCAGTGCTTTACACAAAAGCCAAGGGAAAATACCACACAGAAACACTATACATTTACATCCTTAGAAATGCTAGGTATAGCATATATATGAGGCTGATACACAGCAATAAGTTTCAAAACATTTAGAATTTTGTGATTTTGAAAATAGTTCTTCAAAATACTCTTTTAAGATAAATAAATATTCTTACCTTAAACCTTTCAAAGAACTGTTTGTAATAGATACACAGGATGTCAGATCCAGATGTTTTAGCTTGGAACAAAATTTGCTGAGGCTATAACACGTGCTGCAAAACAGCAGACACACTAAAAATATTTTCAAACCACTTCTTTTTTCAAATTTCACTATCATAATGAAAAAGCCTTTCGCTTACCTGTCAGTAATTTTTGTACATCCATTTAGATTTAATTGTTCAATGTTTCTACAGTTCTGTGCAAAGGTCCTAAAACAGCAATAAAGAGTTAGGTCAATGACATTTTTTAGGAAGCAAGTTATAATTCCACCACTAGAGCGCACTCTCCTATCAACCACCTCTACATCTAACACAGAAATAGCCAACAACCTTGAAATGTGATTACAAAGTAAACTTCAAACACAATTGTCACTGAGGCTGCTTCTTTCTTTTGACAAAGTTATTTTGTAAGTTTCTACCTCTGTTAAACTGAAAAACTAATGTAGTGCTCATCATTTTTCCTCAAATTTGATTTTAGGGAGAAATCTACTTCTGTTGTTCACTAGATCTGTTCTGCTTTACACCTATTAACTGAAAACATTCCCATGAGTAGAAGAGAGCAAACATCACACCCATTTGGATATCTGACTCTAGTTAAGCCACTGGGAAGAGGATCACTCATTTTTCTATCATATAACTGAATCCCCAAATTAACCACATGAAGGGCCAATCCTTCCTAAGACAAAGGGAAGTGAAAATTCCCAGCAGGCTATAGTATCCCCTATAGCTACTGGACTACCCATGGAGGCCTCCTAGGCCTGTACTTTGATCATCATGACTTTTAGTATCAGCAATTGAATGAAGTACTGCCATCAGCTAGATCTGAATTGTAAAGATGATTATCATCATTATCATGTTAAAAACCTGTATATAACCTTACCCTAATTACCTGAAGGAAATACATAAATATCAGGCTGCACAGATGAAAAGAAAACTTGCAGCTGCACAGCATTTCAGAACAGTGTTTTTATATCCAGGTTTCCTCAAACTTTATTAATATTATGGGCACAGCTGGAGGCAAACATACACAAACAGCTTTGCCTGGAGTTTTGCCTTGGTTAAAAGATGTGACTACACACTCAGATGGTAACAAGTTGCTGGCTCTCTAGTGCAGATTGTAAACAAAGGCATGAGGGGAGAGAAAAAACAGCTTGGCATTATATGCTTGATAGTTTTCACTTGAATCTTCAAAATGGCTATTCCAAAGTTCAACTATTTATTGGAGGGAAAATTACAACTATGAACAAATGGCACATCTGTACATTACTCTGTGGCTGTGTCTAGACTGGCATGATTTTGCAGAAATACTTTTAACAGAAAAGTTTTTCCGTTAAAAGTATTTCCGCAAAAGAGCATCTAGATTGGCACGGATGCTTTTGCGCAAAAAGTGCTTTTGCGCAAAAGTATCCGTGCCCAGTATAGACGCGCTTTTGCGCAAGAAAGCTCCGATGGCCATTTTAGCCATCGGGCTTTCTTACACAAAAAATTAAGTTGCCTGTCTACACTGGCCCTCTTGCGCAAGTAAAAAGTAAACGTAAAAAGTTAAAGTATTCTTGCGCAAGAGGGCTTATCCCTGAGCGGGAGCGTCCAAGTATTAGCGCAAGAAGCACTGAATTCTTACATTAGAATGCCAGTGTTCTTGCGCAAATTCAAGCGGCCAGTGTAGACAGCTAGCAAGTTTTTGCGCAAAAGCATCTGCTTTTGCGCAAAATCTTACCAGTCTAGACGCACACTCCCTCAGTGTTTTCTCCCGTCTGCAATAAGCTGTAGAAATAGTGAACCTATTGGGAAAACTGTGTCCATTGACAAAAACCATGTGTCAATTTTCTGATACAGGTACCTCAACCAAGCAATATTTATACATCTGACACCTCTTTTGGTGACTGGAAATTATTTTTAACACAATCATGGTAAAACAAAAGGGACGAGGAAAGTAGATCTGAACACACAACAGCACCAAAAGGCCATTAAACAAAAAGACATTTCTGATTAATAATCTGAAAATTAAAGCAATCTTTCTAATTATTTCTCTCAAGCTTAGGTCACTTGCTATTTACTGTGTTTTCTCTGACAGCATCATCTCGCCCACACTTGGAGTGTATATAAACTGCATGTTGAACCGCTTTTGGGGCAGCAGAGTCCTGGTGCCAGGTTGAACTTTGGGGTCACGAGCCCCAGAGCTCCAGCAGCCCTAGGGCTGCCTGGTCTCATAGCCTTGGGGCAGTGGAGCTCCAGCAGCCCCAAGACTGGCCAAAGAGCTGGGTGTCCAGTGGCCCAGGAGCAGGGAGCCTCAAAAAAGAGCCAACCTTCCCAGTCCAGCAAACTCTCTCCTTTGGAAATGGTCAAGTCCCAAGGGTGCTGGACCAGCGAGGTCCCACCTGTACAGCCTTTTCCTACCAGTTTGCGGTCACCAGTGCAGTTCCACCAACGGTAATCACTGTGGAAGCACTAGCATATATGGGCCACCAGTATGTAAGTCATGCCATATAGTGCTCGGTCATTTCCTGTTTGCATCATTTACTTGTATGAGCTTATGAATATTCTGTGTACCTGTTTTAACTAATTTATCTGTATAACCTCATGCATCTTTTCAGCCCCTGCCTGTAATCTGAATTACAAATGAACAGTTACAAATGTAAATACTGTGGCTGTGTCTACATTGGCAAGATTTTGCGCAAAAGCAATTGCACTGGCTGCGAGTACTTGTGCAAGAACACTGATGTTCTAATGTAGGAAATCAGCGCTTCTTGCACAAATACTCAGACGCTCCCGCTCAGGGATACGCCCTCTTACGCAACTGTTCTTGCACAAGAGGCTACTGTAGACAGGCAACATTAATTTCTTACACAAGAAAGCCCGATGGCTAAAATGGCCATCGGAGCTTTCTTGTGCAAGAGAGCGTCTACACTGGCATGGATGCTTTTGCGCAAAAGCACATCTCTTGCGCAAAGGCACATGTCAGTGTAGACGCTCTCTTGCACAAATACTTTAATGCAAAAACTCTTGTGTTAAAAGTATTTGCACAAAATCATGCCAGTGTAGACGTAGCCTGTTAGTGTTCATAACAGGAAAGGGGTGTTGACAGTAAGGACTGTTCCTCTCAATAAATCCCAACATTTGAAAAAAAACCACAAAGCCAACCTCAGGATTTGAAGACTCAGAAAGGTTATTTAAACACCCTTAAATGAAATTATGGTCCATCTCACTCAGCTATTGGTCTCCATGCTCATCTAAATGTAATTACACTATGGGATCATCTAGACTACGCTGAAGTTTTGAAAGAGTTTTGATCTCACTTTTGAAAGCAGAGCTTTTGAAAGTGAAAGTAGTCAGGACTCGGTTTTTTCACCAATGTCCCCTCTCCCCTTTTCAAAAAGCCACGTAAACATCATTTTTTAAGGAAGAACTGCTTTTCAAAAAAGGGGGAATTTGCATATCCTATTTCGAAACTTCAGTGTAGTCTAGACATAGATTAAGATGTCAAAGTTACATTGCAGATAACTGACATAAGGTAAGTTATTCTGGGACAAGAGCTTCTGACAAAAAAAAAACCCACACACCACATAAATTTTGAGGATATTTTATTAAATTATTAAACTATTCTGTTTTTAAAACTGTTGTACCAGATAACTTCACAGAGATTATTAGTGCTGGTTGGGTTTAATTAACTTTTTCCTTTTCTTTTCACTCTGTGGGGGGAAAAAAAGCTTTCCTTGTATAAACCATGCATTTTTCCTTAAAAACTGTTGCTGCTGTAAGTTTTATATTTGTATTGGTTCCCCAGCATAATTTTTCATTTTAAATAGGAAATGTTGATTGTTTTACCAAGCAGAGTATGTTCCACTAGAAACAAGAAAATTAACTGTTTCTTGCTTTTCTCCATCTCCTCTTTATAAAGTACTTTTGTTACTAATATGGGCTTTTTATTTTGAAAAAGAATGTATTATTTCTTGCCAACATTTTTCTGTGTTGAAGGAAAATGTGATTGGTTCTATATATGGCTTAGCCATTGAAAAACAAGGTTTCTATTGAGAAATATATTTTTATCTTTTAAGACTACTCATGAAAAGGAATGAAATAACATGTTCACCATAATTAGATGAATGCTTACTCTAGAAAACTTTTTTCAGGTGCAAACCACTAGTTTGCAAAAATATGTTCTGCTGTCAAGCATTTAAAATATTCAAAACTAGTAATAGCAGAGAAAAATTAAAAAATGATCTCCCACTATTCTCAGTACTTAATTCATTTCATGAAAACATTAATTATTCTTTACCCTTACTGGAATTCACACTGTGTGAATCACATTAAGACTTGTACAAAGAAGTTGTGAATAGATTACTTACTTCAAAGCAGAGTCTCCAACACCAAGACATCCTCTCAAGCTAAGCTGTCTCAGGAACCCACCACATCTTTTGGAAATATTTTCTATCACACGACCCTTAAACAGGATAAAAAGAAAGTTTTAATAAATGTTATTCTGATACATAATATTCTAAACAAACATGAAATCTTGTTACGGAGTCCCAACTCCTTCTGAAGGAGAATGGTAGGACATTAGAGGTATGTAAGGAAAAGAGCATTTGCTCACTAAAGATCAATACCAACTCCAACTGAATAAATGGCCAAACTCCTTCCTACTCACTTCAGTTGTGTTAGCCTCAGCTTTCAGGCAATCTGGTGAAAAGAACTACTCTTTTCTTTGGTAAAACTCACTGATAATATATTGCTGAAAAAGTTTTTTGACTGTACAGGAAAACATTCACGAAGTTTTTTGAAACAGACACTTGTACCCAGAGCCGGATTAAGGCATGGGTTAGCTGGGCAGCTGCCCGGGGCACCAACCTATGGGGGGCACCTGATGGCAGCTTTAAGAGGCGCTCAGTGCCCCTTATAGCTGCCATCATGCGCCACGCGCCCGCTCCCAGATCGTGGGCTGCAGCAGCTCCCAGCGGCCACCCTACAGCAGCAGCCCAGGGCAGGAGCAGCATTAACCCCCACAGTGCTGTCCAGCAGCGCCCTTCCTCCCATAGCTGCGACCCGCCCTGGGCTGTGTGCCAGCGGCAGTAGCCAGGCTGGGCCAGGCTGCCGCCAGCTCCGCGCGTCCTCCGCCACACGCTGGGTGGGCGCAGGGCCGCGCGTGCGCCCTCCCCCATGCGCTGGGTGGGCGCAGGGCTGCGCAGGCCCTCCCCATGCACTGAGCAGGGCGGGGTCATGGATGCCCCGCGGAGCATTTAAACTGTCTGCCCAGGGTGCCTGAATGGCTCAGTCTGGCCCTGCTTGTACCCAATCTTAAATTGGGATCTACTGGTAGATCTTGGAGCCTCTGACAGGTGATCCTTACTGATTTGGCCAAGAGACTATCAAGTGTCGGCACTTCAGCTGTCCCTCCCCTACTGCTGTGCACGTCCTGTCCTTTGCCTTGGAGCTGCCCTCCCTCTACCCCCAGGAGCCTCCTGCTGCCTGAGCAGGGCAGGGGAGGGAGAAGAGGGGTGCTGATGTCAAGGTGCCCCCTCTCCCACCCTGTATCCTATCTCCACAGAGCAGGGCGGTGGGCACAACAGGACTTGGAAGGGAGTTTACCGGCTGCTTTTGAGAATGATGCAGGGCCAGGGCAGGGGTGAGACTACCTTAGCCCCTCTGTACCACTGCCCGGGAGTCACTTAAGGTAAGCAGTGCCCCATCGGAGCTCACATCCTGAAACCTTACCCCAGTCATGAACCCCCCCTGCACTCCAAGTCCCTGCTCTAGCCCTGAGCACCCAAACATCCTCTGAGCGCCTGCCCCTAGAATCCCCTCTGGTACCCCAACTGCCTGCCCCAAACTCAGCTCAGAGCCCCTTTCACACTCGAAATCCCTTAACCCAAGACCAGAGCCTAAGCCCCAACCCTCTGCCCAGGGCCGGCCCACAACATTTTGCCACCTGAGGCGGGGAGCTCAAATGACGCCCCCATGCTCCCTTGTTGCACCAGCAGCAGACACAATGTTCTACACTCTGGGTCCTAGTGCCCCCCCCCCCACCCCCCATAGTCTGGCACCTGAGGCGGTCACCTCAGTTCACGTCATGGTAAGGCCAGCCCTGTGGAGCCCCCTCCCTGAGCCAGCATCCCCTTCTCCACCTCCTCCTGCAACCAAATTCCCTCCCAGACCTTGCATCTCCTGAGAAACCGCTCCTGCACCCCCCCAAACTCTCCTTCCCCCCTCCCCCATGCCCAGCAGGGCAGCAATTTAAAATGGCACCCTAGGTGGTGGCTGTCGACAGGTGCCTGATATGGCCAAAAAGCCTAAGCTTGTTTCTTAAAGGGTAAGGGGCCAGCCTCCCCCCGCCTTTTTTTTTTTTTTTTTTTGTCTTGACAATTCTCCAGGGCTTTCCTTCCCCCCACCACCCTCCCCAATAAATCTGGTCCGGCTCTTTGCATTTTTTCTGCTGCTGTTTTGGCTCTGTTTGTTGGCCACCCCTGATCTAGGGCAATGGAAGGATCCTTCTCCTGACCTAGCAGCATCTACTCTGGGTGATAGGTTGGCTTAACTATGTTGCTCAGAGTTGTGAAGTTTTCACACTGTGTTTTATTAAATCTGATTCTTACTGTTCAGCATAGGTTTAAATCCTCACACATGCACATTCTTTACACCTTACAGGGTATGCCTTTCTAAACTTACAGGTATTTGCTCCAGGGCACTATTTATTTATCTCTCTCAACTGAATGGCATGATTCAGCATGTAGACTGAAAATAGCAATACTGTTAAAAAAAATACTCCTTAAAAAAAATCATGGTATTGCA